TGTGGGCATTCATTTAAACATTCATTCAACAAAGGTACATTGAGTACCTTTTCCAACAATTGTAATATGAGAGCTGGATCTTGGTCCTAAAGAAAATCTCAAGGTGGTTCAACAGAAGTGTAAACACAGACTTATAAAACAATGTGATTTACACTGAACTATGGGATTACAGAAGAGAAATTAAAGCCACACTCATATAAGGAGAGCATGTAGACAAAGAGGATAAGAGGATTGAAATATAGAACACTCAAAGTTTAGAGGCTAGAAAGGAGAAAACTGGGAAAAGGGCTTGAGAAAAAAAGCTGTGAGGGAAATAGGAGGATATCTGGAAGAGTGTGGTATTAAAAAAAATAAATGAAAAAATTATTTCCATTAAGAGGAAGTGGTCAACTCCATCAAATGCTGCTGAAAATTCTAAAATGATAAGAACTGATATTTGACTATTAGCATACTGATTTGAGTGGGTTGTAAAGAGAATGAGAGGTGTGGACAGTGCTGTAAGTGGGACCCTTTTACTGTGATCCAAGTGAGTTCTGATGTAGTTCTAGAAGTTCTGATGTACATCAGTTTGATAGCCATGGAGGTGATTGGTCTGAGATATAGTGTAAGGGCCTCCATTTCTCTCTCTCTTTTTAATGACTTGATGTGAGATGTGAAAGGATTAGAGAAATCAAGGAGGACGCATAAGTTCTTGACCTGAGAAACTTCCTGAATAGTTTTGCCATTTATTAAGATGGGGAATGCTGGAATAGTGCAGGCCTGTGGGGAGTCACATAGAAGTCAAGGAATAAATGAAGAATTGATTGTGGTACACATTAAGTTAACAGTGTCTAATGCATCCAAGTGGAGATGTCAAGTAACTGGGAATACCCCATCTTCAAGCTTGGGGACCCTCTTCTGAAACTCTGGGCCAGATTTGGACATGGGAATTTGGAAACCATCATCAGATGAACAGAAAACTGGAGTGGGAATTAAAGATTGAGGAGGTCAAGAGAGAAATATTTTAAAACGAGAAACATGATGGCATGTTGTAAAATGAAGGGAATGATCTAGTAGGGAGCAAAAACAGTGTCCAAGCAAAGTCTGTGAGTAGAAGTACAGATGACCGGGGATGCTTGAAATTGGGATTTGAAGGGGACTCATTTACAGTGAAGTATGACCATGGAAATGGAATGAAGCGAAAGAGTGTTGGAAGTGGGCACATCATTGAAGCGAGTGGTCAGGTGTTGATGGGTCATCTAGCTTGATAACAAAATCTTCCAGAAAGATAACAAAAATACTATTTTATCATTTTCAGTAAATGGGGGCAAATGTCCTAGATGTTGATGCCCACAGAGTCTGATAGTATATGCTTCAAAGAACAGAGAAAGGGTCTGCAAGCAGCAATGAAAAACATGGAGGAAATTTATACCATCTCTAAGACTATGGTCCCATTTCAATAGGCAAAAAAATAAAAAAATAAAAAATAAAGCCACATCTTGAGAGAGTGGCCAAGGAAGTTATGTCCAGGTTTCCATTAAAGAAAGGAGTTGAAGGGCATTCAGTGAAGAGCTTCGGGTAAAGGGGACTTGGTGGGTGACAGTCCATGAATCCCAGCGGGCACAGGGTTGGAATAGTCTGGGAAGGGTGGTGAATTGGGCCAGGTGATGCAACGTTCACTGTCGAATGAGCATGGCTTTAAGGCAGGATGGGCTTAGTCCTGTGGTCTCCTAGGGTAAAAAGCATGAATCAATGCTCTTAGGGTGTTAGCCTCTCAGAGCTGGTCTCTTAGTGTGTGGAGGGAGGTGAATGGTATCAGGCTCACGGGAATCATCTTTTGGAGAGCCTGAGGGGTTTAGGAGGTTTTCTTTTTAAACTTCTGTACGTGGCGCTACAGCTGGGAAAGGATGCTGGAGCACATGGCTCTCTATACAAACTTGCTTTAATCCTGCTCCTGGGGATGTCACCATATATGGAGGCTGGAGGGGAACAAGGCAAGTCCGGACACTATTTGAGATCTTATGATGGCTTCAAAGAAAAGGTGATGTAAGAGTAATGAAACAAAACCAACATTTTTCTCATTTTAATTATTTTTAAAATTGTGAAAACTTGATAACATTTCAGTGCATTTCTTTTTTGTCTTTTCAATATGTTGGTTTTTTAATTTTTTATAAAATTGAGTTCTTGATGTACTCGACTATATAGTTTTGCATCCTCTTTTTTAAAAATTAATCATGATAATATAAGAAATTTCCCGCATTAATGGGAGTTCTTTGTACACATGAGGATTGATGACATAGTAATAAGAATAGAAATAACCTGAAAAGAGAAAAGGCACTTACTGCACAAGGGATGACACAGTCCAGGATGAGGAGTCTCCTTGGGCTAAGTCAGCGCTGGCAAGAATTTAGGTCCAAATGTCCTGGGGACTGAAGAGTTAACCAGAGGGATCAGCAGAGGCCATGTGCCATCACTCCTGCCCTGTCAGTCCCCTGGGCAATTCAGGGCTGCCACCTGTGTCCCTTTTCCAGGGGAAGGTCATGTAAGCATCAGAGAATTCATTTCCAGAAGCAGATGTGTTTGCCAACTGGGAAGGCATTCACTACAACAGAGGGGGACAAAAGACTTTTTCTTTACCAACTGGCCCCTGACCCTTGTGTTTCGCAAGGGTTCCCACTTTCCTTGGCAGGCTTTCCCCTGCTGTAAAGCCGGGCACAACAGGCTGGCAGGGAGCACATTTTCATTGGTTGTTCAAGGCGGAAGGCTGAGGTCAAACATGCCATTCGTTGTAGAACAGACGTTTGGGGACGTACCAATAAAGCAACACAGTTATCTAAAACTTTGATGATTTTTAATGTTATACTCATATTTGAAAAAGTGGTGGCTAGGTTAATATTCAACAAATACAGCAATTTGTCATCTGCTTGATACCTTCTGTTCCTGTTATAGAGCAAAATCTCCCACGCTAAATAGAAACGGACTTTCAGGGGAGGTCAATACAGGGGCAAGACTATTTGGGGGCTTTTATTTTTCATTAATATGTTATTCCTATCTTCAAACTCTGATCCTTTATTGAGTCTGATAGTTCATGAATGTCAAGCATGATTTTGGAGTTTTTCTTCCTTCTGAAATTTTGCAGTCAGAGTTGGTGCTTTGATTTTAATTCATACACATGAGATGCAAGACATTGCCAAAGAGAATTTTTTTTTTAGTCAAAAGACCCAAAGCTTACATAAAGTTAAATAACTAAAATTAAATGCAGTTTCTAAAGGTTATTTTTTCTACTGTTATGAATTCTAGTCTACCAAACGATTCTATAAAGGTGAGAAATATAATCTGATTGGTGCCATTTTTTTCTTGGGTTATCATTGAAATTTTTATAAATATTTGTTTACTCCCTGAGAAGATTCCTAAAGTTAACTTTCTGAAGTTTGCTGGCTAGAATGCTCACTATTAGGGTAGGTATTAACTGTTCAACCTTTTGCCCAAGTGTTTAATTAATTGAAATGTCTCAGTAATTGGTTTATTTTTTTATATAATATTAACAGTCATCACAATTGTCACCAATGTTTGCAGTAATTTGCTGTTACAACAATAAATGTGTATTTACATTTCCCATGAATGATAGAATTTTACTATATAAAGTATACAAAGGGACTCTTCCTGCCAGTTGCACCTAGAATGTTCACCTATACTTAGAATATTCAGATGTTTACAATGACTTGCCTTGAATGACTCACCTTGTTGAAATGCTGAATAGCAATGGTGGTCTGTGCGCCCTGTGGTCAGGGATTATGCCTAAATTGAGAGATGCAAGACATGCTGCAAAAGGGGGTGTTTGATGACTTGGTCATCTCTCTAAGCTTGAAGAATAAACTAATGTAAAGTCAAGTAGACGACATAGAAAGAATTTAGTCTGTAAGTGTGATTTTGAACACTAGCTTTGCTACTTTAGTTTTGTAGATATTTATTTAGCACCTACTATGTGCTGAGTATTCAGTCATATTTTGGAGACATATCAGTGGGTAAGAGGGAGGCCCCGGTTCTCAATGTGCTGGTAGTCGGGGGAGTTGGAACAATTTACACAGCTACTCTAAGCGTCTGCCTCCTTCTCTTACTCTTTGAGCCTCATAGGGATGTTAATAAATGTCAGGTGAGATAACAGGGGCAGCCTTTCTTTCTTGTGCAAAATGTATTTATCAATATCCTAATAGTCCCGACCACCCGAAAGGGTAGATAGTACAGCTTCACAGTCAGGGGAACGAAAGCCTGGGTTTAAATCCTGGTTGCTGTGCAGCTTTGGGGTTGCAGTTTAACCCCTTTGTTCTTCAATTAACTGTAAAATTGTGACATTTAGGTTACTTCCTTCATTGACAATTAGATTACATAACGGCTGTATAGAATTCAGCATGGAATCTAGCACATAATAGGTACTCCACTGAGGCTAACAGTTATTAAAATTCAGTACAATTCATCCCCCAGTAAAAAATAAATGCAGAGAGGTGGTATAATTCACCCAGGGCCACACAATAAGTTGCAGAGATGAGGCTTGGCCAAGGTGATCTATTGCCAAAAGTCCTCTTTTTTCTTTCTTTTTTTTTTTTTTGTATTTTGGGTCTCTAAAAATATTTTTATAGAGATCATTGGATAAATTTGAAAGGTACCTATTATGTTAATCAGTGCTTTTAAACTTCCTCCATTGGCTGGGTGTGTCCACTAGTCTAATTTCTTTACTCTCCGTCCACATCCCAGACCACTGGATTGAACCCACTGGAGTGCGGATGTGGCCTGGTGACAGGTGAGGCCACATTAGTCCCCGGTCTCCAGCTGCCTCTCCATTGAGAGGAACCACTTCACTCCATTGAAATAGGGAACTTGGCTTGGGTGGGTGAGCCAGGCTCCCAAAGATCATGAGCCTGGGTCTACTCATCAGACTGTGAACGTTCTGGCCTTCTCCATCCCACTGAGCCACGCCTGAAAGCTGAGCTCACTGTGTCTGATTCGTGTGTGTTTTAAATTAGTGTGCTGAATTACTCTCTTATGATGGCGGAGAAGTCACGTGGATCTGACAGCCCTCAAGGAAGCCAGGAAAAGAGCAGGAGAGACATCCTGAGGTCCACCAAGAAGGCATGGGCTCCCCTGGATGAGCAGCTGCCTCCCGGCTCCAAGGAGGAGAGCCAGAGTGCAACCGTCCCCATGCTGGGTGAGAACGGGCCCTCAGGGCTGTCTGAAACTGTGCTGCTGTGCGTGCTGAGGGCTGTGGGGGCTTTTGGCTGGGGGCACATGCTTGTAGAGTAAGGACTTGGCTTTGAACCTAACAGTGTTCCTGGCATGATGCCGGAAACTTCTATGAAATAGGCACTTCTTTGTTTCTTTTAGAAGTCAAATAGTTTTTATTGTATATATTTTCTGTGATTACAGTTGACATTTAATATTATATTAGTTTCAGGTGAACAGCATAGTGCTTAGACATTTATATAATTTACAAAGTGATCACCCCAAGAAGTCTAGTACCCACCTGGCAGCATACATAGTTATTACAGTATTAGCGACTATATTCCCTATGCTGTACTTTACATCCCCGTGACTATTCTGTAACTGCCAATTTATATTTCTTAATCCCTTCACCTTTTTCACCCAGCCCCCAGCCTCCCTCCCATCTGGCAACCATCAGTTTGTTCTCTGTATCTATGAATCTGTTTCTGTTTTATTTGTTTGTTTTGTTTTTTAGATTCATTATATCAGGTTGTCAGAAAAGTCATGACGCATCTTTGCAACAAAAAACATAGAAAAATACGTCATGACTTTTCCGACAACCCAATATAAGGGAAATTACATGGTATTTGTCTTTCTCTGTCTGACTTCATTTAGCATCATACCCTCTAGGTTCATCCATGTTGTCACAAGTGGTAAGGTTTCATTCTTTTTTTAGGGCCGAGTAGTATTCCATTGTATATCTGTACCACCTCTTCTTTATCCAGTCATCTATCGATGGACACTTGGGTTGCTTCCATATCTTGGCTATTTGTAAGTAGTGTTGCAGTGAACACAGGGGGTGCATATATCTTTTTTAATTTCTTCGACTCAACTCCCAGAAGTGGAATTGCTGGGTCATAAGGTAGTTCTATTTTTAATTTTTTGAAGAACCTCCATACTGTTTTCCGTAGTGGCTGCACCAGTTTGCAATCCCACCAACAGTGCACAAGGGTTTTTTTTCTCCACATCTTCACCAGCACTTGTTTGTTAATGTATTGATGATAGCCATTCTGACAGGTGTGAGGTGATATCTTATTGTGGTTTTAATTTGCATTTCTCTGATGATTAGTGACATTGAGCATCTTTTCATGTGTCTCTTGGCCATATGTATGTCCTCTTTGGAGAAATGTCTATTTAGATCCTCTGCTCAAATGGCACTTCTAACTTCTCCTACAGACACTCGAAACACAGGTTTCTTGATGGAATCAGACCAACTCATTCCATTCCAACATCCCTCATCCTTAGTCCCCCAGGACCCCAAAGCTGTGCGGAGTCCATGCCAGGGACATCAGACTTCAAACATTTTACCAAAAGGCTCTTACTTGGTGGGTCTGACATGAAACATCAATAATTATTTAATAGTTTAAAGAATAATCAGTAAGAAAACGCTTCTCCCTCCACTATCATGTAACAGTTCAATGGTTTTTCTTCTTTGCCCACCACCCAATTCATTCTATCCCTTCACATGGCCTCATCTGAAGAATAGACACCTGTTATGTCTACCTGGCCTGTTTGTTTCACCCGAGAGGGTAACTCAGGTGCCTCACTGTTTGGTAAGATAAAATCAAAGATAATCAAAGATAATATTTGGAAACAAATATTTAACAGGAAATGCTACATTTATAGCCTCTCTTTTGGTGTCCTGTTGAGTCTTTTTTGTGCCTGTGATCAAGATCCACCTTAAAAGACTGGGGCCTTTATAACATAGGGTGTCTTTGGCAATCCTGGGAGTCTAGTGCAGTTTGTCCCTGGAATGAATGCAAATTTGGTTTCTAACCTGGCAGAGAACTCCTTGCAAATAAACATCCCTGGCTAACTGCCTTAGGGAAATGTCGTGATTCAATAAGGAGAGGCTCCAGGGTGATTTACATTCAACAAAAGAAAGACAAAAGTCTAATATGCTTGTTCATCCTTCACCTTCATGCCAGGTAATCTAAAAATTATTCTTTGCTCTTTGGTGATTTCTTTTTCTTCCTGTTTACATTTTCTTTAAGTTACGGTCTTTTGGCAAGTTTATACTTCGGGAAGGGCTGATTGTGGAAAACAGGAAGTTTTGCCTTGGGGGAGAAATAAATATGCTTATAGAAGCATGTGACTAAAGATGTTGGAAATGGAGCTATTGGGTTGTGGCTGAATAATGAAGTGGAGTCATTTTAGCTGGCTGTGCTTTGACTGACTGGTCTGTTTCTTTGCATTTGTAGAAGGTTCCAAACAAGAAAGTATTCAGCAGTGGCTGGACTCTGGATTCTTGTAAGTGTTTCTTTGTGCCCTTACACATTTCTTTCACAAAGATCCACGGAAACACTGTGGGTGACCCTGCTGGGACAAGGTGTGACACGAACACCTTGAGATTTTCATTTTAACTGGGTGCTTGACGGATTACTCTATTATTGTAAAAATTATATGTTGGTTTAAAAGTACAAAATAGATTATTATCTCAGTCCCTGGCAGTTCATTGGTTTCTGAAAATCTTCTTGTAATAAAGCCTGACTGCATTTACTCTCATCTGTTTGATTAAAAAGCAAGTTAGTATAATTTATTTGTGCACATCGTCTGATTCACAGTACTTTGGTTTTTTATAGTGTCACTGTAAATGAAAACGTGCATCAAGTCACCAACAACGCAGGTAAGGCCCAGGAGCAGTTATGCTCAGTGGACCCAAGTAGATGTATTATCGTGTCTGTGCAAATAAATCTTCTCAAAATGAGCATTATCAGAGATTCCTAGAAATGGACCGAATCTCAAAAACCATCCAGCTCAGTCACTTTGTTTGATAAGTAAGACTGAGGCTCAGAAAAGATAGGATGTTACCCAGGAGCAGGCCTGGGGCTAGAAACCGGGACTCTTGCCGTATCCTTAGCTCAGACTCAAGCAGAAAACTCACGGGCTTCTCTGAAGACATTTTTCAAGGCTGTAATTATGAAAATGAAATTGTTTCATTTTTCCTCACCACTGTATTGTAGTTTTATTTCTAAAACTAGTTCCTTTCTATTCTTTGCTCTCAAAAATATATCCTCTCTTTCTAATTATGCATTTGTGCCCAAAAATAACAAATGACTGAATTCTATAGCAAACAGTACAAGTCTGTCTTTCTGAGGCAGAAAATGTATCACACTTGTTACATTGAGATTTGATAAGAGCATTATAAAAAGAAAAAGAAATATAATTACAATTCTCACAGTTTCCACCTTTATCAAATAAAATACTGTATTTCCTAGACTCTAAGCCCTCTTGATCATAAACATTGATCACATTTTAAGTTCCACACCAAAAGGAAAATAAAAAACAAAACAAAACAAAACACAAAAACCAGCCTTGGCAATTATAAATGAAAGGCAACATTGCCACATTCCAATTTCATAGATGTCAAAATGTGAAAAAAGTGTGTTTTAAAATTGATGAAATGCCACAAATAATGTAGGTAAAAATGACATAAATTAGGAGTTTAATGATTGGAGGAAAAAAATCATTAGTCTAATTGTTACTTACTTGGCTCATTTAAATTATTTCACTTTCTCTACTGCCTTTTAAATTAGGATTGACCAGTGTAAATTCAAGATTTTTTTTTTTACTTAAAAGAGTAGGTATATCATTGAAATTTTCTGATTTACCAAGGTCGTTTATTTATTTTTTTAATATAAAATTTCCATGATGCCCAAATCTATGGAGATGTTTGCCAATAAATTGAATTGAATTACCTCTGTTCCTAGTAGTTCAGACTCAAGGAAAGACAGGAACTTAAGAAATATAGCCAGCATTTTCTATCCCCCTGACATTTCATCTTTCCCAGGTCATGGTGGGAGGGAGGCCTGGCACCAGTTCTGGGGTTGTCAGTAATGATATTAAAAGCTTCACTTCCCAGAATTAAAGACCAATCATGGCCCTTCCTCCACTGAGTCAAGTCCATGGGCTGTAAAGGCACAGCCATGAGGTGAAGACCTGGAGGAAAGGAGGGATATCAGAACGGCTCTGAAATCAGCACTGCACACCTTCAGTTTGCCAGGTCCTTTGTCTTCAGCAAGTGTTCTAATAACAATGGAATAGCTTCTCACACATTTAATTGAGGCTTCACTTTCACAAGCCCCTTTCTCATCTATCATAGGTTAAAACTCAGTGGCCCGTGTGGTAGCAGGGCTGGTGTTCATGTGTGCTTTGCAGGTGAAGAATCTCGGGCTCAGAGTGGTCAAGTGCCATGATTTTGGGTCACCACTGGTCAGTGGAAGGTGGAGGAACTTTAGGCCCGACAATCTATTAGCCCCTCTGTGTACTGGTTTGAGTCACGATGAGATTGATACACACTGAATGTAGGGAAGCCAAGAGCCACACTGGGACGTGTGGAAACCAGAACAATACCGGAAACTGGGGACCTGAAGGTCGTGGGGAGTGTGGCAGGGAGAAAAACTGTGGTTTAGTGAGAAGGAACTGAAGAGGAGAAAGAAAAGCAATCACTACTGAAGGGGAAATCCTGTAAAAACTCATACAATCCTAGGATGATGTACAGTGATGCATCAGTCTCATAGGACAGCTGTAACAAATAACAAATGTGGTGGCTTAAAACAGAGATGCGTTCTCTCACAGTTCCGAAGGCTGGAAGTCAAATCAAGGAGTCAGCAAGGTCGTTCTCTCTCGGAAGCTTCTAGGCAAGAATCCTTCCTTGCCTCTTCCTAGCTTCATGTGGTCCCATCACTCTTAGCATTCCTAGGCTTCAGTTGCATCGTTCTATTCTCTGCCTCCATCTTCAAATGACTGCCTTTTCCCTGTGGGTCTTCTCTTCTTCTTATAAGGACACCAGCCATTGTATTTAGGATTTGGGACCCACACTTACTCCAGCATGACCTCACCTTTACTAATCATATCCTCAAAGACCCTACTTCCAAATAAAAGATACATTCTGAAGTGAAATTACAGATACAGAAATAAAATTTTGGTGTGATACTATTCAACCCACTAGAAGTGGAAATCAGTCTGAGGTTGGTTGCCCTCATTGATCACGTCTGAGACTTTATACATTGAAGCAGCAACAAGCTCCATCTTACAGGTGACCCAGTAGCTCCCATAGGAAGCAGTCTAGTGGGCCTCCAGGCCTGGGACTGTGCCCCAAATAAAATGGGGAGGCGGAATAGGCTTTGGTGGTCCTATTGCTGACTCTTCCTGAGTTCTCGGATGGCCAAGGTGGGGTCTTGGCCTTTTAAGGGGATTCTTTGGCTTTCATGCTGCTCTGCAGCTACCTAAAGTCTCATTTTTATGAAACTGAAATCTGACTGGTCCATTTTCCATGCTGTTCACTACCATTATGCGATGTAAAGCCCCTAACCCTTGGCACGTCAGCCTCTTCATCAGGAGAACTGGAAGGAGAACAAAATCAGTACATATTAAGGGCACACAGGCTAGTGCTTTACATATATTATCTCATTTACCTGAACCATCTTCAGAGGTAGGTATTATCATTATTAACTTTGACCACGAGGAAATTGAGGCTAAGAAAGGTAAGTCACTTGCCCAAAGTAGCCCAGTTAGCAGATAAGGGAGTTGAGATTTAAACTTGGAACTGTCTGACTGTACAGACATGTGGCCTCTCTAGAGGACCCTTGCAGGACACTTGGTCTTGTCCAAAATGTCCACTGAGACATTTAGAACACATCTAAAGATTCTTAAAATTTAGTCTCATCAAAAGCATCCACGAGCATGATTGGTCCACGCCAAATGGTCTTTGATATTTGGCCCTGTCGAAAAGGTCCATGCTTAGAAAACATCCCGGGGTTCAAACAGTCCATAACATTTAGTTATACTTTTGACTTACAGGATTAATGCATGAAAAATGAATACTGTTATGTTTTATTAGTCCAATAATGGTGTTGTGGCTGTACTGCCCATAATAACCCTTCTTGCTTTGGTAGCCTAGCTGGTCATGGCACATGGTGAGGTAGATGGGTCAGGGTTTAGAACTTGCAGAAGAGCAGGATTTATATTAACTATGCACGTTTTGGACAGAATCAAATATCAAGGTACTTGTGGCATGGACCAAATGTCTTCATGAACTTTGGACAGAACCAAATGTCTGCTAATCTAGAGGACTAGTATAATTTACTATCCGTGTTATTATTCATGGAACCCCCTGAGAGGAAAGCCCCCCATCAGCATCCCTGCTAGAAAACTCAAAGCCTGGACACTGGTATTTACTTCCCTCCCCAGGACTTCTGATTCTTGTGCACCAGCCTTCAGGGTCATGGCTCCGTCCTCTTGAATTTAAATGTTTTGAAGTGGGACAATACTATATAAATGTCAATCAAGTGCCTACGGAAATGCAAAATAGCCATGTCTGGATCCTTAAAAAGATATGTCAAATACTTTCTCTGGAGAACCAAAGAAGCCATTGTATCTCAATTCCAGGAATTTTAAACTTCAAGAAACTAAATTCTTAGAAATTTGACATGGCTGAGAAACGAATGCCTAGTAGTAGGAACATCCTCTGGTTATTGTATTCTATTCTCAGGCTCATTGGATTTCTGATTTCCATACATTTCAGCCTCAAAAGTAATAATAATACTGATTATAATTAGTAATTATATATCAAGTACCTGTTACATATATAAATATTATTGAAAAGTAGGCCTCAAACAAAACAGTGCAATGACAGTTGAATCTAATTAAATAATGAAGAAACAGAGACTCATAAAGTTAAGAAATTTGCTTAAAACTGCACAGCCAATCAGAGATGGAAACATGTTTGAACTCCAGTCTATCTGATTTTAAAGTTCAGCCTCTTTCTACCAGAAACTAGTGTGATGGCACACTAGAGTAATGATGGCACAGGTGTAAGTCCATGGTCATTAATTTTATCACTAGCTTTTCCTTCTTTCTGTAAGCCAAAGATGGCAGAAAAGGACCCTTCCTAAATTTAAGGTTTGGATGTTGAGGCATACTTCAAAACTTATTCCATTTAAACCTGAAGTACATAAAGAAGATTTTTAAAGTATTAATTACAAACAATTATGAAAGAAAAGGGTACAAAGGTATTATGAAATTGATCCCTAAGTAACTCCTGTTACTCAAATTTGCCTTAGGTCTCACCAGTCTGTGGGGGTACAAATTAAGTCACAAATTGGTGACACAGTCTATTGCAACACTTCCCCTAAAGTATTTTTGGGAGTCCACAGGGGATGCTCTCATGTTTTCATGAATGAGACAACTTTCACTATCACTGCTGCTACTCTACTAGCATCCCTTAGGTGTCACCATACAGACAATTCATGTTTCATCACTTCCTGACCATTGGTTCTTCCTCTGTTCCTCTGGATTTGTCTTCGAGTCCTTATGGTGCTATATTTCTTGCAGAATTTACAGAAATGTTCATTTCCATTATACTTCATGTAGGAATCTAGGGAGCATTACTGGTGCTCTGTGTCACACAAAACCCATGATGGAAATCATCTTTCAGCTTCTTCCTGCAGCCCATATCTCTCCCTAAGCCTTAGGCTTAGGATAGAGACCAAACTTGCTATCAACTCCTTTTCCTTGTGCGTAAGCACACAAAACTTCTGATAAAAGACAGGGCAGACTAGTGAGAGACCATCCTTTGTGAAGTACTTTAGTGAGTCTCTCACCAGTCTTCCCTATCTTCTGATA